CGGATCTTAATTCTGCCATTTCGGCTTGCAAATTATTACGCTTCTCGTCGACTGATATGTCTTGTATTTTCTAAAATACATTACTGAAGGATTCGCTAATTCAATAAACCTCACAATTTGAGTTCATAACTACAAAGGTTCCGCTAACCGCTTGCAAGCTTTCCCTCTTCCTTAGCAAATTCGTATTCAATTGGTTTTCCAAACGTAGCTTTACAGATTCTAGTCGCGCTCGCTCTTTAAACAGATTGTCGTAACGAGCTTTCTTGTCTCTTATATCTGTCTAAAAAAAACCAAAAACTGACTCAAACATATATCAAACTGTTTACATATCAACTCCTATCGACTTGTAACAAAAACTACTATTTTTGCAGTAGCATACCTGTAACGAATTAAGCATATTCTGCTCTTCAGTTGACAGCTGAGATAGTAATGGTGTGCCAAGCTGTTTTTGCAAACCTTCCATATTTGCATTTATTTCTCTTATTCGATTCTTCAACAGTACTGTCTGTTCCATCTGAAAGATGCACAGAATCGCAAAGATTGCACCTTTTTGTAAAAAGTAGGCGTCTACAAGGTAGCACTAATTAAAATGACTAGCCTTTGGTTCTCGGTTTCTTTGGCTTTGCTGCAGCTGTTGCGACAGTGCTCTTTTCCTCTCTGTAGCTAGCTTATGGTCATTTCTTAAAATCGTAATAATTAAAAACAAAATAAAAATGGCAGTATTGGTAACGAAAAGGAGAAAAATTATAGCTAAAGATAAAATACTTATGAAGTAACTCACTTTTTAGACAAAACTTCTCTCTCCAAGTCTTCACCTTTCATCCTCAATTTTTCCACTGTGGCTGTTCTTTCATTATTCCTTTGTACTGCTGCTTCTAAATTTACCTATAAATCACTTGCATGATAACTGAAGTACTGCTGGGAAGTTAAAAATAACGCAAAATCAAACTTGTATATCACTCTTCTGCCCCATCAAATTCCGTATAGTCGCAAAGAGTTCTAAACGGCAGCGCTTAGGATCTAGATAACCTCCTGTCATCGGCCCACGTCGATTAATTTGGTCCCCTATAGAACCACTTCATTACCGGACAAACAACTAAGTCTCAGGAACAAAAACATATCGTTTGTCACAAAAAATTGATGGAACAAACCTTCAAAAGTAACACAATCAAATCCTTCAGTTCTAGCAAGGGTATTGCCAGCAAGCATATTCCTTACAATTGCAGTACCCCCAAAAACATGACGAAAAACAATTTCGTATCGGCTGTCAAACTCTAGGCTGTCTAGCAAAGGCCTAGCCTCCTGAAAAAACGCGAAACGATGACAGCAACCAGATGCCAACTTTGGATCCATACTAATTTAAACATTTTAAATACTTCTTGTATCATGGTAGAGATGCTAAAAATGTTAACAAGCCGCTTCTAAAGTAACAATAACTTTGCCTTTTTGAAGTACATCGTTAAAACACCTTTAATAGTCAAACCCTTTACTACCTAACGACTGCCAAAGCGAAAAAAATTGGTAGTTTCTCTAAAAAATGCAGAAATCAAATCCCCGATCAAGAACGCGGGTTTTGTTTCTGCTTAAAATTATGAAACTACAATGACACAATACGCTGATAATTCCTAATTCGAAGTTGTGATCACAATATCGTAACAAGGGCTTACAGGATTATTTGTCGTCTTTTTTGGTTTCGCTATTATACGATTCAGTGGAAAAAAATTTACTTCGCCCAACAGTTTCTGTTGATTCACCTGAAAAATGAGAAGAAACAGTTGTAACAATATATGCAAGCAGAGTAAAATCCAGCAATCAAGAGCTTCTAAAACCACACGCCTCTTTTAAGATCTTCATCGCCACACGATCATCATCTACCACATGGTAAAAAAGTCGATTTCCTGCCGTCACCTCAACCGCCTGATGGTAAATATTTTCGCAGCAAAAAAGCTCCATAAGAATGCCTAAAGCAAAGCTACCAAAAAAAAAGCAATGTTAACCAACAAAACGTGGTTCATGAAGCCATGTGGACCTCATTTTGCTTTTGGAACAAACCCTACCATGATACCCATTTAAAATCCAATCATACTGTCCATCTACGTTCATGTTTCTGAAATTCTGGAGCACTTTCCTAACACTATCGACACCATTCATTATACTCTGAAAAGTATTCGATAAACACAAGAAACTTTAACAGTCTTACACCAACACATAACAGTCTTACCCTCGCACTGAGCCTCCTCATTTCTTGCTCTGCCTGCGAGATTTCTATGTCAATGTTTTCAAGTTCTTCCCTTACGCTTCTTTCTTCTCGAGCAGCCTCACTAAAAACAAATAGAAAATTTAAAACCAAAAGAAGTGCGTAAAACTTTTTGAAATACATTGAAGAGCTGTTTAACTGACACTTGTTGTACTGTAGCGTGATCAAGACGTTGGCGCAAATCCGTAATTTCTTGATTCAACTTTGACAGCTGATCGACGCACTCTTCGGCTTGCCAATCTAGTTTCTAAAAAAAAACAAAAATGATCGGTAAAAAAAACAAGCAAAAAGCCGAAAAATGTAATGTTTCGAAACTCAAATATTTGCCTAAGAAAACCAACACTAACACAAATTTATAGAAAAACAAAACAAAACATATAAACACAACAGGCGTTTAAATTACCCTGATTTTAGTATTTAACTCTTGCTCCTCTTGTTCTTCTTCTTGCAAACTGTTTTCAATACTTTCAATCTGAGCCTTCGTGTCATTGAGCTGCCTGTCATAAAAGCGAATTTCCTTAGTTAACGCCTGTAAACTTAAAAATTGTGATCCTGAACATATAAAAAACTGGCGACATCAAGTAACTTCGTACGCATATACCTTATCACGCTCCTCTACTGTCTTATAATGGTCCCGAAAACCTTGTTTAGCGCAAAGATCTTTATAACGCTGTTCCATAATACGTATACTAAAAAACTAAAAATAAGCCACCAGAGCGACGAAGTAAAAACAGGATAATATGCTCAATATAAGAAATAGCTTGAAGTATGCTCAAGTATGACGCGAAGCTCAAAATCTATACAAGAGATTAATTGCCAGACTATCTTTTACCAAGATTCGCGATTTTGATCGTATGGTCCGTTTTCGTAAATTAGGTTATTAAACATAAGCGGAAAATCAAACATGATAAAACAATGATAGTGAGGTCAGTAATAATTAAAATGACTAAATAACGTACAATTTACAAAATACGTGAAGGTACTGACTCTGACTGCTCATAGAACAGCTTTTGAAAGAGTTAAAACGAAAAGCAATTTGGAAAGATTGGACAAAAAGTTTTGAATATGAAAAACAATAAATCCTTTTTAACTTTTTGCCACCAGTAAGAATAAATGTTATAGAAATGCAAGAAAATTAAACTGTAGATGTACTCTGTGTTGAGCTTTGCCATCTCTTCCCCAACAGTAGCATATTTTGGTGTAATCCCATTTAATTCCTCCTGTCTCGCAGCTATATCGGCTTTTAGCTTTGTTAAAACTTCTTCAGCTTTATCCTAAATTACATCGAGAATCACATGAATAATGCCAGAAAAGTGGTCTGAATCAAACGACTCTTTAATTTTCTAAAAAATTTTACTAAAAGTAAAATGCCGTGAAATTATTTGAAAAAAATTATTTTGGAAATAACTTACCCTGCCTGAACGCTCTTTTTCTACATCTTCTCTCAAATCACGAATACGCAATTCAAGCTCCGTCTTTTTCTCCACACGTTCCGTCTGTTCCGCTAATAAGGCCTCCTTTTCATCTCTCAACCCTTTAAACCGAGCTTCCAATTTTCGTTGCTCAGCAGCAACATTCATAGACCGATCCTGGGCGGATAAAAGTTCACTTGCAACCTAAAAAAAGTAATTTCACCAAGTAAACTGAAAGCAGAATAAAAATGAGAAGGCTACCTTGCTCTGTCGTGTGCTCAACTCTTCTCTCTGTTCAGCCAATTTATCCAACTTTTTCCTAGCCTCTTTCACTTCGTTATCATATATCGTATACTCAATAGACCTTAAGAAAAAAGAAGTATAAAAAGAGTTATACAAAAATGCACAATCAAAGTATATCAGTGACAAGCCTTTTTATCCTGTCCCACTTCTGATATTCTTTTAACTCTTCTTTCTCTCCTTCGAGTGTTTGAAGGCGTTCCTCTATGTATGCCAGTAAGTTTTCAATCTTCTCGCTTTTAGAATCTGTAAATTTACTAATCAAAATATTAAAAACAGGTATCCACAACTGCAACGACAGTGGAACGATAACACATACTCGTTTCCCGCAGTATTTTCAAACTTTCCTCCTTGCGCTCATCGTAAACTCGTGTCCCAGCGACCTGCAACAGTTTTAGTTGGATGAAGACACGGCATAAAGAAATTATTATCCAAATGAAACCAAAAAAATCGTTATAAGCAAATTAAATTGAAACCTCTCTTAATAACTTCAAACGATGCGAATCAGGAGATGTGGCTAATTCATTAATTTTTCCCTGTTTAACTATATGATAAGGATTCGATCGAGAAAACCCAGCAGACTCCATCAAATTGACAACCTATCATAGATTAATTTTTGAAATCATTTACAAACACGTCAAAAAACAGAAATAAAGATAGAAGTTGCTAAAAATATATAGTAAAAATGCAGTTAACAATAAGTTTTGAAAAATAGATATACGGTACATACATCACTCCTTGTGACCATCTTGGAGTCGATAAAATACTGATCCTTCTTGAAACTGACTTGTCGCATCACTCTTACTTCGTTAGACTCAACCTAAAGCAGAACGATGCACCAGAGGAAAAACGAGTAATGATGCCGCCAACACAGAGTGGCTCAGACAAGACAGAAGTTTAATTTCAAAGTAGGCCCTAACAAGATGCAATTTTCATTACTAATCGAAGTCTGCTATTGAACAAGACTACCATTTGCCTTATCAACTTACAGCAACGATGCGACGATCGGAATTATCAAAAACAATTTCCACTCGTGCAGTGCTGACACGCTCACCTGTTCCTTCATGTATAAGGCCCTCTCGATGCTCGGTTTTAAGATGAGCAAACTCATCTGACAAAACAAATTGAATTGCTAAAATATAACATTTAGAATTAGATAAGTAGCGTTTTAAAATACCTTTAATTTGCAAATTAAACTTCAAATGGAGTAGATCCAACAAATAACCAAAAACTGCATGTTTTTTAAAAAAAATACGATAATTTGCATTGAACAATCAGAACTTTGCGTCTTTTACCAAAAAAGAAATTGCTTTTTCCACTGCCGTTACGCCCTACAATAACATTGTGTCGGGGCGAAAAATCGTTAACTGAAGTATCCCTGTAGCTTCGAAACCCTGTGATGTTAACCTAAACATTCTTTAAATTAGAATTTTGGAAAACTATAAACCGCAAGGTACACCGCAAAATCCGTGCAAAAAAAAAAAAAAAAAAAAAAAAAGAAAGAAAAAATTT